TAATGAAATATATGTCAGTAGCGAAATAAACACCATTGCAAACAGATGAATAATAGAGCAATTTGGTTCCATCCAGATACATAAAATCACTAACACTGCCTCTCATTTTACTCACCACAAACCAGAGTCATCTAAATAATTAAGTGCCATTTATCAAACTAGAGCTGACCAACCATGGGCGCCCGCAGGAAAGTTTGTCGAGAAAAAGTCAATCCACTTGCATAGGAAGGGAGCTGTGGAGTATCTAAATCATCTAAATCATTTAGTATCTAAATCATCTTCATTACTAAATTAAAAAAAAAAAATGATCTACGAAAATGGCTTAAACTAAAAAAGAAAATAGGAAAGAAAAAAAATCTACCTGTCCTAAGAGAAATTAACATAGCAAAAATAAAAAAAAACAACTAAAAAGAATAAAACTATGAAATAACAAGGAGAAAAAACAATAAAAAAAAAATAATTCTCATACTATTATTATTATCACACCCGGCTCCGAAGCCATTTAATCTGTACGGAGCCACTGCGGGTGCGAATAGCAATTTGCGATTAAAGGTACTCGGGCACCTATAGATGCAGCCTTATGTTATATTACTATTTAAGTCACCTCGTAATAAACTCTTAATACTCGGATAGCCCGATACTTGTAGTCATGTAACTTGTAGGACCTACCAGTTGGAAAGAAGAAAACTATTTGATCCACACAATACTATTTGAGGATTAAAATTTTTGTCTCATGTTTACCTGAATAAATATAACAATAACATTATAGTGAAATGTCCTCAATGCCAGGCACAAAAACATTGCCAATCCCTGTTAAAAATGGGGACGCCTGCCACTTTTTTATCGAATTTCACGAATGTATCCCTAAATTGATCCCTATGCCTAACCTGAACCCTAAATCGAACCCTATGCCTAACCTGAACCCTAAATCGATCCCTATGCCTAACCTGAACCCTAAATCGATCCCTATGCCTAGCCTGAACCCTAAATCGATCTTTATGCCTAACCTAAACCCTAATTACTGTAACTATAATAAAGACACAAAAGACGCCGTGGCAGCCGTCCTCGGTTTTAGCCCCAATCGCCTCTACATACATAGGACACAGAATGATCAATACATTGATCGTGAACCCTTAATAGAGAAGACATCCTATCCGGAAATTTGAAATGAACATTTTTTTTTAAAGGCAAGGGAAGTTAAGAAAGAGAAATAAATAAACTTATTAATAAAATTTATTTTTGTTTATTCCCATTGGTTCTTTAAGAACAAATTTCCTTTTGAAAAGTTTTCCACCAGAGCTAATTTAATAGCATGATTCCACTCTCATATTTATATATAATATATATATCCCGGGGTCAAGCTCTGATTATTTTAGTTGCATTTAGTCCATTTTAACCATATGAACCGGATACATTAAAATATTGTTTTTGTTTTAAAAGAGAGTTTGATTTTCACACATTTTTTTAACATATAAATGTAGCAAACTCACTGCAAAGCCAAAAAAAATAAATAAAGGAACAAACTTGTTTTTAAAGATATTTATTTTCAGCTAACACTTTGACTTAAATTATAACTTAAACACAATTTTGATTGACAGTAATTTACAACCCCCAAATAACGGTAACAGAATAAATGCATCACAAAAAAAAGGAATGCAAACATTTCAGTACAACTTAAACCTACTCCAGTAAAGTTATTAATAATTGCAAAAGATATTTGTTAACACTGAGATATTAAAACAGGAACAATATTTGAAACTCTTTTTTTTAAAAAAAATAACACATTTTTAAACAAAAGAAATACCACCAGCAGTTACATTTATAAATGTCAATGTATTATTCACACACAACTCTTGATAACACACTACTGTCACTTTCTCATTCTGCCTCAACACACTGTACATGAACACACTTATGACCTTTGACCTACAGCATTTCATCATGCTGCCTGAGTGCCACTAATAATTTTTGTCCTTTTCCACTTTCTTATAATTTTAAGCACCGCTTCAACAATGGGCTCTGGTTTTCTGTACATCATGTGGCGGTCTGCCCCATTGACAACGGAATGTTGAACATTGGACGGGAACTTTGACAACAGGCTCTGCTCTGCCCTTGCCCAGGCCTGTAGTTGATATACAAAATAAAGATGATCTTATTTCTGCAACACTTTGAGTCACCACTTTCTTAATGCTTATTTTCATTAATCCTTACAGCAATAAGTATGAGGCTAAATCTTTTTCCATAGCTCGCCGATACACATATTATCATTATTTTGCAAAATAAAATAATTACAACGTCAAAAACAATTAGGGCTATGTTCTGTAAAGTAGAATTAGTATTATTATAACTATTTTTAACGAAAGGTGGATGTAATTGAATGTAAATTTTATCACTGATTGTTTCTCTGGCTTTAAATAAACAAACCAAACCAAGGAAGTAAAATCATTTAAAAAATGATGAGCATTTGAAACAAGAACATTTTGGTTCAATTATGGTCATTATCTTTCTGACTTTTTTTTGTTCCCAAAATAAGCACTTATTATTATAATTAAAGACGGTGTGAACTAAATAAATAAACTGATGTTTTCTCAACTCGGTTATTTTATCGCACAAAAAGTCTTTTGGACAGGGGAAACTATAAGGTGTAACTAAGTAAAAAAAATTCCCATTTAAATCAATAGTTATAACTTAAGGGCTCACTTTATTCAAATGACTCGGCATCTGCTCATCATAATAATTTCCTGTCAGTACAGAGACGGTAATGCTGGACGCCAAGGATTTTATTTTTCTTAATGTCCTGTTAAATAAAACAGATTATTAATGCAGACATGGGTGTATATTGACATTTATGTGGGTGCATATTGACATTTACGTGGGTGCGTATTGACATTTATGTGCAGTCATCTAAAGTATGCTAACATAATTACTCATGCTGGTCGACTGTCATTCAAAGAGAATCATTTTGGCCATCCTTGGATAATGTTGAAATAAACCTCATGAAAAAAATTCTGTATTACAATTTTTATTAAAATACAGAATTTGTCTATGACTATGAGGTTAATTTAGATACACTTAAGTTAAATAAAGATATTAGTATAAAGAAGTTATTATTATTTTATCTAATTTTATATGATAAAGGAATAACTGCATCATTTAAAAGTCATATTTTATAATGAGCCACTTGGCATATCTCATGCTTAACTAAAAATGCTGCTAGTGTCAACTATAGTTAACATTAACAAAGATTAACAAATACATCTTAAATATATCTTAATTAAAAAAAAGCTTTAAAAATTAGTAAGCATTAATACAAGAGCTAAAATCTGCTCCTAACAATGTCTGCCCCTTACCACGTCTGCCCATAACAACGCCTGCCCCTAACAACGTCTGCTCCTAACAATGTCTGCCCCTTACAAAGTCTGCTCCTAACAAGGTCTGCTCCTGTGATGCAGCTCTTAGACAAGATCAACTAAAAATGGATGTTTACCCAGCAGTATCTGACTAAAGCTATGCTGTAGTTTGAACACTTTGAACCCTTGGCTCCTGGTCCTTAAATACCCAAGCCCCTGGGCTCCTGGTCCTTAAATACCCAAGCCCCTGGGCTCACGGGGTAAATTTACACAAGCAGACGTGCAAGCAAATAAAATTCCATGATTATAAAATTATGTAAATTTTATTTATGAGTTCATACTATTTAAATTTGTCTTTTAGCAGTAGATTACTATTATAATGTGTTATAACGGGGAGAAACCTGTCTTAGAATTGGTGTAGAATAGCAAAGTGTGGGCAGTCATGTAGAATGGCATAGTGTTGACTGTCATGCAGTATAGCAAAGTGTGGACGGTCATGTAGAGTGGCATAGTGTGGACGGTCATATAGAATGGCATAGTGTGGACGGTCACGTAGAATGGCATAGTGTGGATGGTCATGTAGAATAGCATAGTGTGGACGGTCATATAGAATGGCATAGTATGGACGGTCATGTAGAATGGCAAAGTGTGGACGGTCATGTAGAATGGCATAGTGTGGACAGTCATGTAGAATGGCATAGTGTTGACGGTGATGTAGAATGGCATAGTGTGGACGGTCATGTAGAATAGCAAAGTGTGGACGGTCATGTAGAATGGCATAGTGTGGACGGTCATGTAGAATGGCAAAGTGTGGACGTTCTTGTAGAATAGCAAAGTGTGGACGTTCATGTAGACTGGCATAGTGTGGACGGTCATGTAGAATGGCATAGTGTGGACAGTCATGTAGAATAGCACAGTGTGGATGGTCATGTAGAATAGCATAGTCTGGACGGTCATGTAGAATGGCATAGTGTGGACGGTCATGTAGAATGGCATAGTGTGGATGGTCATGTAGAATAGCAAAGTGTAGACGGTCATGTAGAATGGCAAAGTGTGGACGGTCATGTAGAATGGCATAGTGTGGACGGTCATGTAGAATGGCATAGTGTGGACGGTCATGTAGAATGGCATAGTGTGGACGGTCATGTAGAATGGCATAGTGTGGACGGTCATGTAGAATGGCATAGTGTGGACGGTCATGTAGAATGGCATAGTGTGGACGGTCATGTAGAATGGCATAGTGTGGACGGTCATGTAGAATGGCATAGTGTGGACGGTCATGTAGAATGGCATAGTGTGGACGGTCATGTAGAATGGCATAGTGTGGACGGTCATGTAGAATGGCATAGTGTGGACGGTCATGTAGAATGGCATAGTGTGGACGGTCATGTAGAATGGCATAGTGTGGACGGTCATGTAGAATGGCATAGTGTGGACGGTCATGTAGAATGGCATAGTGTGGACGGTCATGTAGAATGGCATAGTGTGGACGGTCATGTAGAATGGCATAGTGTGGACGGTCATGTAGAATGGCATAGTGTGGACGGTCATGTAGAATGGCATAGTGTGGATGGTCATGTAGAATAGCATAGTGTGGACGGTCATATAGAATGGCATAGTATGGACGGTCATGTAGAATGGCAAAGTGTGGACGGTCATGTAGAATGGCATAGTCTGGACGGTCATGTAGAATGGCATAGTATGGACGGTCATGTAGAATGGCAAAGTGTGGACGGTCATGTAGAATGGCATAGTCTGGACGGTCATGTAGAATGGCATAGTGTGGATGGTCATGTAGAATGGCATAGTGTGGACAGTCATGTAGAATAGCACAGTGTGGACGGTCATGTAGAATAGCATAGTCTGGACGGTCATGTAGAATGGCATAGTGTGGACGGTCATGTAGAATGGCATAGTGTGGATGGTCATGTAGAATAGCAAAGTGTAGACGGTCATGTAGAATGGCAAAGTGTGGACGGTCATGTAGAATGGCAAAGTGTGGACGGTCATGTAGAATGGCATAGTGTGGATGGTCATGTAGAATGGCATAGTGTGGATGGTCAATGATGCCCTGATTTTCATAAAAACCAGGGATAGGACTAGGGTTAGACCTTGAATCATTCACATGATTATCAACCTGAGAGATCAAAATATCGGTCAGGCGCGCTATGGATGTTTAACACACAGATAGAACGGGATACCTGGTTCAAAGTGTTAAGTAAATGGATCAAATTATTTGATAGAATAAAATTGTTTAATGTTTTTAAAAAATTAGAGCCACTGAAACCAACATAGTTGTATTCCTAACATAAGTTGTATTCCTAATATAGGTTGCATTTTTAACATTAGCTGCATTCCTAACATAAGTTGTATTCCTAATGTTTAGTTGTGTTCCTAACATTAGTTGTATTCGTAACATTAGTTATATTCCTAAAGTTTAGTTGTGTTCCTAACATTAGTTGTATTCGTAACATTAGTTATATTCCTAAAGTTTAGTTGTGTTCCTAACATTAGTTGTATTTGTAACATTAGTTATATTCCTAAAGTTTAGTTGTGTTCCTAACATTAGTTGTATTCGTAATATAGGTTGCATTTTTAACATTAGCTGCATTCCTAACATAAGTTGTATTCCTAATGTTTAGTTGTGTTCCTAACATTAGTTGTATTTGTAACATTAGTTATATTCCTAAAGTTTAGTTGTGTTCCTAACATTAGTTGTATTTGTAACATTAGTTATATTCCTAAAGTTTAGTTGTGTTCCTAACATTAGTTGTATTCGTAACATTAGTTATATTCCTAAAGTTTAGTTGTGTTCCTAACATTAGTTGTATTTGTAACATTAGTTATATTCCTAAAGTTTAGTTGTGTTTCTAACATTAGTTGTATTCGTAACATTAGTTATATTCCTAAAGTTTAGTTGTGTTCCTAACATTAGCTATTTGGAGCATTTCCCATTTCATATTTTAATGCCTACATTAGAAAATCACAATGTAAATAACAGCAAAAAAAATAACTGATTATTAAAGGGGAATGATCCCTCATGCCATCATTAAATTAAAAAAATGAGATTCAATCCAATTGTCAGCAGCATGACCTTTTCTCCACATAAAGCAAAGTACACCACCATTACCAACTGCATGGTCATATGCTTGAGCCAGTTTCCTCCGTAAGATACCTGGGTGTTACCATTCAAAGATACGTCCGCTGGGACGAGCATATTAACAATGTGTGCAACCAGGCAAACAAAACCCTAGGGTTCTCAAGGCGTAATGTAAAGATCGGCAACTCCGGTGTGAAAGAAAGAGCCTATAAAGCCTTTGTCCGGCTGCTTTTAGATTATGCATCTTCAGTCTGGGACCCATTTAACAAAAAGAGCATCGACAGGTTGGAGACGGTCCAATGACGCTTTGTCCTGAACCGCTAAAGGAACACCTCTAGTGTTGGCAGCATGCTGGAAACACTGGGCTGATCACCGTTGGAGGAATGATGACAACTTTCCAGGTTCTCCATGATGTACAAGATAAATAATGGACTGGTCCACTGCTCCAGCATTAAACAGAAACTCGTCCCTCTCCCCCATTGACAGCGACGAGGCCATGACAGGCAGTTCCGGCTCATACCAGTAAGTAGCCAGTATAGGAACTGCTCATTCCTGCCAAAGACAATCAGGGACTGGAATAAGCTTCAAAAGGAACAGTTGAGGCGACTAAACTTAACACATTTGTGTCTATTGCCTCAAGCCTTCAAACCCTCAGTGCATGATACCATCACTAAGTAGCCCTTGCAACCAGTGAAATATCTTCGACAAGCCCTGGCACAGAAACATTGCAAGTCCCCTCTCAATGCATAGGAGCCAGAATGATCAATAAATTGATCTTGGCCCCTTAATATAAAGAAGAAGATCATTTTAAAAATAAGAAGAAACAAAAAAAATTAAAAATTCTGAATACCTCATTTGAGAAAAAGTCTCATTAATAAAATAATGCTCATCTACAACTGAACTGAGATGACGAGGGTGGCACATTAGGTATTTCTGAAATCAGAAACAAACAGGTTAAACAGGAACAAACAGGTTAAACAGGAACAAACAGGTTAAATAGGAACAAACAGGTTAAATAGGAACAAACAGGTTAAACAGGAACAAACAGGTTAAACAGGAACAAACAGGTTAAATAGGAACAAACAGGTTAAACAGGAACAAACAGGTTAAATAGGAACAAACAGGTTAAACAGGAAAAAACAGGTTAAACAGGAACAAACAGGTTAAATAGGAACAAACAGGTTAAACAGGAACAAACAGGTTAAATAGGAACAAACAGGTTAAATAGGAACAAACAGGTTAAATAGGAACAAACAGGTTAAACAGGAACAAACAGGTTAAACAGGAACAAACAGGTTAAACAGGAACAAACAGGTTAAATAGGAACAAACAGGTTAAATAGGAACAAACAGGTTAAACAGGAACAAACAGGTTAAATAGGAACAAACAGGTTAAACAGGAACAAACAGGTTAAACAGGAACAAACAGGTTAAATAGGAACAAACAGGTTAAACAGGAACAAGCAGGTTAAACAGGAACAAACAGGTTAAACAGGAACAAACGGGTTAAATAGGAACAAACAGGTTAAATAGGAACAAACAGGTTAAACAGGAACAAACGGGTTAAACAGGAACAAACGGGTTAAACAGGAACAAACAGGTTAAACAGGAACAAACAGGTTAAACAGGAACAAACAGGTTAAACAGGAACAAACAGGTTAAATAGGAACAAACAGGTTAAATAGGAACAAACAGGTTAAACAGGAACAAACAGGTTAAACAGGAACAAACAGGTTAAATAGGAACAAACAGGTTAAATAGGAACAAACAGGTTAAACAGGAACAAACAGGTTAAATAGGAACAAACAGGAAGGAACAAACAGGTTAAACAGGAACAAACAGGTTAAACAGGAACAAACAGGTTAAATAGGAACAAACAGGTTAAATAGGAACAAACAGGTTAAACAGGAACAAACAGGTTAAATAGGAACAAACAGGTTAAACAGGAACAAACGGGTTAAATAGGAACAAACAGGTTAAATAGGAACAAACAGGTTAAACAGGAACAAACAGGTTAAACAGGAACAAACGGGTTAAACAGGAACAAACGGGTTAAACAGGAACAAACGGGTTAAACAGGAACAAACAGGTTAAACAGGAACAAACAGGTTAAACAGGAACAAACAGGTTAAACAGCAACAAACAGGTTAAACAGGAACAAACAGGTTAAACAGGAACAAACAGGTTAAACAGGTTAAACAGGAACAAAGCTAAATAGACACTAGGCAGCCTCAAACTGCATTAACAGCATAACTGCATCATTCAAAAAAAGAATGACCTGTTAGGGCTCGTATTCTATTAAGATGATAAACCATAGATTTTTAATACAATGCTACATACTTCTACTTTAAATAAAAATAGCCCAAAAAAAACCTTTTTAAAAAACCTATTCAAAATGACATTATGTGGTGTATTCTTGCTGGGCCTAAAACTCTGCATACCTGTCTGAGGATGACATTATTTGGTACAGAATCGCCAACGATGGGTTGCTTCAGAACGCCAAGTAGCAGGCCAAGTCTTGTGATACCCAAAGCTGCACCTAACTGAAGAGTTTGATATGTTGGGCTCAGGCTTCCAAACCTAGTACAAGTGAAAATAATAAAAACTGAATGAAAGAGAAATTATCCATACTGACAGATTTTGAAAAAAAAAAAAAAAAAAAAAAAAAAAAAAAAAAAAAAAAAAAAAAAAAAAAAAAAAAAAAAAAAAAAAAAAAAAAAAAAAAAAAAAAAAAAAAAACAAAAAAAAAAAAAAAAAAAAAAAAAAAAAAAAAAAAAAAAAAAAAAAAAAAAAAAAAAAAAAAAAAAAAAAAAAAAAAAGAAAGAGTAAAAATAAAAATACAGAGGCTCCAGGTCGCCTTGGCACCATCAAGAATTTACCTGTTGTGAAATTTCAAATTTGCTATAAATTTTAAATTTATCTTGGCTCTATCTAACTTTAATTCAAAACAGATAAGATAGTATCTATTAATACGGTTATGATGTGCAGAGCCTAGACCAGTAAATGAAGTGTCACTATAGAACCAAACTAGAAAATGACACCTGTGTTTCACTACGGGGTGGGGGGTAGGTGGATGTGTTTGATTGATGTAAACAAATGATGCTTAAATGTGTGTTTATTTAAAAGTTCAATTGTCTTAAGTATCAATATTCTTGTTGGGTGTGCATCATTTGCAGTAAAAATAAAATAGCACATAATCAAAGTAGTGCTAAACACAGATAACAAAACATCACATTACAAATCAAAAATATCCTACCGAAACAAACAAATGCTTTTGCATTATTTCGGACTTTGGTCATTTTAGTCCACTAAAAATCTGTATTTAAAAAAAAATGTCCAGAGCATGCCTAGAGCATAAGAGGAATCTTTACGGCAACAATCAACTTCATAGGGGTCGTTGTTCTTGTTTTTTGGCTTTTATGTATTTAAACCGGTTCGGTAGCCAGGTATTGGAACCTCAAGGACTCATGACAACAAAGAGAACTACAGATGGCTTTATAGATCCCATGTTGCTCAGCATGGCCTTACAGATTCCAAGTTGCTCAGCCTACATGGCTTTACAGATCCTTTTATGTTGCTCAGCCTACATGCAGTTTAGATAAAAAAAAAAATCATAGACCGCAGCATTGTTGGGACTATGTAAAAGCAGGTACTAGCAGGGCAGTGGAGCTGACCAGTGAGATTACAAATGAAAGACGCATTGTGCCACGAGAAAACAGCTAACATCCATGGTAGTCTTAAAAAGCCCAGAAAACTTACCACATTTACCTAATCAGAAACATTGAGGCTTACAGGTCAAAACGTAATGATATCTTCAATAAGAATATTGTCAAGCAAGCATATAGGACTATAGAGACAGCTTACCAGTGGTGCTAGGACTATAGAGACAGCTTATCAGTGGTGCTAGGACTATAGAGACAGCTTACCAGTGGTGCTAGGACTATAGAGACAGCTTACCAGTGGTGCTAGGACTATAGAGACAGCTTACCAGTGTTGCAGCCAGACACTGTCCGACTGTTGAAACAAGTCTTCTGACAAAGGGTTCACCAACACCAAGCCCAGAACATCACTGCAAGTACAACAGAGTAGCAATCAATTCATTTCTTAGCAAGTACAACAGAGTAGCAATCAATTCATTTCTTAGCAAGTTCAACAGAGTAGCAATCAATTTATTTCTTTGCAAGTACAACAGAGTAACAATCAATTCATTTCTTAGCAAGTACAACAGAGTTGCAATCAATTCATTTCTTAGCTCACATTTAAAATTGCAGGAACATAAGCATAATGCAAATCAACTTTACTTTTAAGACTATTACGTAGTAAAAATCACAACTCATAAGATAAGAATATTACAATATCAACAATCACTACTTATAAGACAGATAAGATTCTTTTATTGATCCAAATAAATGGAAATTTGTTTTGATTACATTGCATGAATTGTTTTCAGTATTGAAAGTCTGAGTTATTGCTGTATTTTATAATTGGTCTGAAGCAAAGCATTAGGTGAACCATTGTGTGGTGAGCAGGTGAACTGTTGTGTGGTGAGTAGGTGAACCATTGTGTGGTGCATAGGTGAATCATTGTGTGGTGAGCAGGTGAACCATTGTGTGGTGAGCAGGTGAACCATTGTGTGGTGAGCAGGTGAACCATTGTGTGGTGAGATCAACTGTGAGGTGCTGAGGCTATTAATTGTACATTGGGATGTGGTGCATAGGTGAACCATTGTGTGGTGAGCAGGTGAACCATTGTGTGGTGAGATCAACTGTGAGGTGCTGAGGCTCTTAATTGTACATTGGGATGTGGTGCATAGGTGAACCATTGTGTGGTGAGCAGGTGAACCATTGTGTGGTGAGATCAACTGTGAGGTGCTGAGGTCAACTGTGAGGTGCTGAGGTCAACTGTGAGGTGCTGAGGTCAACTGTGAGGTGCTGAGGTCACCTGTGAGGTGCTGAGGTCACCTGTGAGGTGCTGAGATCACCTGTGAGGTGCTGAGATCACCTGTGAGGTGCTGAGATCACCTGTGAGGTGCTGAGATCACCTGTGAGGTGCTGAGATCACCTGTGAGGTGCTGAGATCACCTGTGAGGTGCTGAGATCACCTGTGAGGTGCTGAGATCACCTGTGAGGTGCTGAGGTCAACTTAATTGTACATTGGGATTTTGAACACTCTTGGCTGTTATTTCCAAACAGAGTTCAATGATTTTTTCAAGGTCACGGATAATCATAAAGTCTGTGGCTAATTTGTCTTTGGTTGGTCATTTTGATACCTTAATTTGTTACTAAAAAATGGTGGATGTGAATATATGTTGGATGATGATCAGATATCTAATAATTCCATTTTAAAAGCAGCTACCTACAATACAAACACAAGACATATCAGTCCAAAGCAAATTTAACACATTCTCAATTCATTGATTCCAAAAGAAAAATAAAAAAAAATCCAAAACTATAACAAAAGCTGAAAATAAGCACAAATGCAATCAAGTCACATTCAGTGTAAAAAAAGTTGATGAGTTGCATCTTCCTAACTATGTGGTGCATCTTCCTATGTGGTGCATATTTATATTGTTAAGATGTGCAAAATCTCACAAATCGTATCATATACATTTATCGCTTAGTCACCCGTGTCCAAACATCTTAAATTACCTTTCTTAAAGATGTTAAATTACCTTATATAAAGATGTTAAATTACCTTTCATGAAGATGTCAAATTACCTTTCATAAAGATGAGCATAAAACTGTGAAACGATAGCCCCCAATTCTGCTCCAACAAGGATTAAAGGATTAGGCTGCTGACTGCTGGCTGTGATAAGCTTGTGTAGGTCATCCACCATTCTAAAAATAGAAGTGAGTACAACCTGTGATAAGCTTGTGTAGGTCATCCACCATTCTAAAAATAGTAGTGAGTACAACCTGTGATAAGCTTGTGTAGGTCATCCACCATTCTAAAAACAGTAGTGAGTACGGCCTGTGTAGGTCATCCACCATTCTAAAAACAGTAGTGAGTACAACCTGTGATAAGCTTGTGTAGGTCATCCACCATTCTAAAAATAGTAGTGAGTACAACCTGTGATAAGCTTGTGTAGGTCATCCACCATTCTAAAAATAGTAGTGAGTACAACCTGTGATAAGCTTGTGTAGGTCATCCACCATTCTAAAAACAGTAGTGAGTACAGCCTGTGTAGGTCATCCACCATTCTAAAAACAGTAGTGAGTACAGCCTGTGATAAGCTTGTGTAGGTCATCCACCATTCTAAAAACAGTAGTGAGTACAACCTGTGATAAGCTTGTGTAGGTCATCCACCATTCTAAAAACAGTAGTGAGTACAACCTGTGATAAGCTTGTGTAGGTCATCCACCATTCTAAAAACAGTACCGGTACAACTGCCATTACAAAACAGTGGTGGCTTATAAGGGCAACATTTGTACAGGTATCTTGAGAATACTTAAACATTTGAATAACTGCATTAACTCATTAAGAATGTTTCAGCAGATCCTCACTTCTTATCCTTTCCAATGTGCACATGGCTTCCTCTTTAGAATTATTGTGCATGATTGTGGCTTAACCTGGAGATAACAGCACTTTCTGTTTCAGTCCAGAGGGTTTGTGCTATTCACATGTTTCACTGAACAATATCAGTGCTTTTTATAGCTGCATGAAAACATACTTTACCTCTCCGCAGGAAATGGATTCATCCTGTTGTAAAAACTTTACCTCTCTACAGTTAAATGGATTCCACCTCTCAAAAATACTTTACCTCTCCACAGTAAACGGATTCCACCTTTCATAATAGTTAAAATTTAGTTGATTTTGTGGATCTGAATCAGGAACTGACTTGTTCTGTGAATGAAAATCGGTTAAATTAAGATCTTATCATATCTATTGTCAATAAAGTATTCAAACTTTTCATTATAATTATATTTTCCATTTCAAATATAAATGTTTTAAGACTTGCTTTAGCACGACAATTTAAAATGTTAAGTTCGGAAAGATTCTTACCAAAGGCCTTTCACTGAAACCAAGGCCCGCTCTGTCGTACACGCACACCTAGAGTGGTAAATAAAAAGTTGTTTAAGAACCAGGTGTCTGAACCAACCTGCCAGTTCTGTGGGTTCAAACCCAACTTTACGTTACAGGTACTCAAAATATTTTATCTGTTGTGTGGCAACATAAAGTTGCAAATGATAATGAAAATAGGTCTCCAACAGCATCATGGTTCTATATCTAAGTGGATTGGCATTGAACCCATTCCTATGTATCTAAGTGGATTGGTATTGAACCCATTCCTATTTATCTAAGTGGATTGGTATTGAACCCATTCCTATGTATCTAAGTGGATTGGTATTGAATTCATTCCTATGTATCTAAGTGGATTGGTATTGAACCCATTCCTATGTATCTAAGTGGATTGGTATTGAACCCATTCCTATGTATCTAAGTGGATTGGTATTGAACCCATTCCTATGTATCTAAGTGGATTGGTATTGAACTCATTCCTATGTATCTAAGTGGATTGGTATTAACTCATTCCTATGTATCTAAGTGGATTGGTATTAACTCATTCCTATGTATCTAAGTGGATTGGTATTAACTCATTCCTATGTATCTAAGTGGATTGGTATTAACTCATTCCTATGTATCTAAGTGGATTGGTATTAACTCATTCCTATGTATCTAAGTGGATTGGTATTAACTCATTCCTATGTATCTAAGTGGATTGGTATTAACTCATTCCTATGTATCTAAGTGGATTGGTATTAACTCATTCCTATGTATCTAAGTGGATTGGTATTAACTCATTCCTATGTATCTAAGTGGATTGGTATTAACTCATTCCTATGTATCTAAGTGGATTGGTATTAACTCATTCCTATGTATCTAAGTGGATTGGTATTAACTCATTCCTATGTATCTAAGTGGATTGGTATTAACTCATTCCTATGTATCTAAGTGGATTGGTATTAACTCATTCCTATGTATCTAAGTGGATTGGTATTAACTCATTCCTATGTATCTAAGTGGATTGGTATTAACTCATTCCTATGTATCTAAGTGGATTGGTATTAACTCATTCCTATGTATCTAAGTGGATTGGTATTAACTCATTCCTATGTATCTAAGTGGATTGGTATTAACTCATTCCTATGTATCTAAGTGGATTGGTATTAACTCATTCCTATGTATCTAAGTGGATTGGTATTAACTCATTCCTATGTATCTAAGTGGATTGGTATTAACTCATTCCTATGTATCTAAGTGGATTGGTATTAACTCATTCCTATGTATCTAAGTGGATTGGTATTAACTCATTCCTATGTATCTAAGTGGATTGGTATTAACTCATTCCTATGTATCTAAGTGGATTGGTATTAACTCATTCCTATGTATCTAAGTGGATTGGTATTAACTCATTCCTATGTATCTAAGTGGATTGGTATTGAACTCATTCCTATGTATCTAAGTGGATTGGTATTAACTCATTCCTATGTATCTAAGTGGATTGGTATTAACTCATTCCTATGTATCTAAGTGGATTGGTATTAACTCATTCCTATGTATCTAAGTGGATTGGTATTAACTCATTCCTATGTATCTAAGTGGATTGGTATTAACTCATTCCTATGTATCTAAGTGGATTGGTATTAACTCATTCCTATGTATCTAAGTGGATTGGTATTAACCCATTCCTATGTATCTAAGTGGATTGGTATTGAACTCATTCCTATGTATCTAAATGGATTGGTATTGAATTCATTCCTATGTATCTAAGTGGATTGGTATTGAACCCATTCCTATGTATCTAAGTGGATTGGTATTGAACCCATTCCTCTGTATCTAAGTGGATTGGTATTGAACCCATTCCTCTGTATCTAAGTGGATTGGCATTGAACCCATTCCTATGTATCTAAGTGGATTGGAATTGAACCCATTCCCTCTAAGTTGGAATTTTATTCAACACTCCTACTAAGAGGATTTGAGTTTAATTGAATTATTTTCTTGGACAGAGTTGTAAAATTGTGCAGTTTCAGTAGAGTGAACAATTTAGATTCTGTGATCTCAATTTCACTTTTTTTTGAGTACGGAAAAATAATGTTACAAACAAGCCAAGAGCAAATTAGGAGACCTATAAATATTATTATTTCCTTTAACCCAACCTGATCATAGGCCCCCCCCCCCCCAAGTGACTATGTTCAGTGTAAGTTCCATTTAATAGCTGCTTTGAACATTTTAATTACTGGTTTAAGTTTAAATGTCTGTGTTTTTAAAGCTGGGTAATTAATTGTTTACCTTTGAACAAGGTTGTATACCTATGAGTCAGAGTGTATACCTATGAGTCAGGGTGTATGCCGATGAGTCAGGGTGGTTGCCTTTGAACCAGGGTGTATACTTTTGAGTAAGGGTGGTTGCCTTTGAACCAGGGTGTATACCTATGAGACAGGGTGATTACCTTTGAACCAGGGTGTATACCTATGAGACAGGGTGATTACCTTTGAACCAGGGTGTATACCTATGAGACAGGGTGATTACCTTTGAACCAGGGTGTATACCTATGAGACAGGGTGATTACCTTTGAACCAGGGTGTATACCTATGAGTCAGGGTGGTTACCTTTGAACCAGGGTGTATACCTATGAGACAGGGTGATTACCTTTGAACCAGGGTGTATACCTATGAGACAGGGTGATTACCTTTGAACCAGGGTGTATACCTATGAGTCAGGGTGGTTACCTTTGAACCAGGGTGTATACCTATGAGACAGGGTGATTACCTTTGAACCAGGGTGTATACCTATGAGTCAGGGAAGGGAGTCACCAATAGTAAGAATCTGTGTCTGTACACATAATTATGACTCTGCTACAAATCTTATTTTATTTTAACCCAGGCAGACGGTAATGTTGACATTGGTGAAGCCACAACTGTAGGTATATCAATTTGTGTAATGCTATTAAACAAATATTTACTTTACATTGGCATGCTCAGATAACTTGTCCACTACTAATGTCCAAACATCAGAATTCATCCCTGTTGGTGCATCTAAAACAACTGGGAATAAATAGGACAAATTTAACAGGTAAATTAAAATACTTTTATGTACATTTGTTATGCTTATGTGATATTGCAATGCGTTGCATGTCTACAAAATCATCCAGTCAAAACCCCAGTGCTGCCAATAGAACACACAGTGCCCGAACCAAATGTTCATTATGTCAGAGGGTGGCATGTCAAATCCCCAATGCTGCCAATAGTGCACACAGTGCCTGAACCAAATGTTCATTATGTCAGAGGGTGGCATGTCAAATCCCCAATGCTGACGATAGTGCACACAGTGCCTGAACCAAATGTTCATTATGTCAGAGGGTGGCATGTCAGGTGGATTTTTACTTATGACACTTGTTCGGGGTGACTAGGAACTAAACTACCATACATTCATCTGCTAAATTTACTGCTGTACGTGTGACAGCATTTCTTTGGTTAAAACAGGTTAGGCAGGAGAGGGTTTGAAGTCATTTTAATTGTAATTACCGTATTTATTGGCGTATAAGATGCACCATTTGCGCCGCTATACGGTATGTACTAATGGGTCCTTAACATTATATCGGCGTATAACACGCACACATCATTTTCCCCCTATTTTCAGGGAGAAAAGTGTGTGTTATACGCCGATAAATATGATATGAACTATAAGTATTTTGACTTTTTGTTGCCAGAAATTATACAAAGGACATTTAGAGACCACACAAAATATAATTAAAGATATTCTTTTACATTTATTATTATAGGTCTCCATTTCTGAAAGATACTAAGTGCAAAGATATGGCCTAGCATTTATCAGTATCAAAGATATGGCCTAGCATTCATCAGTATCAAAGATATGGCCTAGCACTCATCAGTATCAAAGATATGGCCTAGCACTCATCAGTATCAAAGATATGGCCTAGCATTCATCAGTATCAAAGATATGGCCTAGCATTCATCAGTATCAAAGATATGGCCTAGCATTCATCAGTATCAAAGATATGGCCTAACATTCATCAGTATCAAAGATATGGCCTAGCATTCATCAGTATCAAAGATATGGCCTAGCATTCATCAGTATCAAAGATATGGCCTAGCATTCATCAGTATCAAAGATATGGCCTAGCACTCATCAGTATCAAAGATATGGCCTAGCACTCATCAGTATCAAAGATATGGCCTATCATTCATCAGTATCAAAGATATGGCCTAGCATTCATCAGTATCCAAGATATGGCCTAACATTCATCAGTATCAAAGATATGGCCTAGCATTCATCAATATCAAAATATACTAGAGATGTAAATGTATAAAGTTTCTGTGTACCGTATCTGACTGAATCAAATGTTCAAAACACATTTTTTTCCCCTTGCAATATCTGATCTATTGGTGATAACCTGCTGGTGCTCACAATTTTTGTAACAATATTTGATCTATGCAGTACCTGCTGGTGCTCACAATTTTTGTAACAATATTTGATCTATGCAGTACCTGTTGGTGGTCCCTTGCCACGGCATGATAGAAATAACTTTTGACCCCATCCTATGTCATAGAATTCTCCTAAAAGAAAAAGGACAAAAATACAATGAAATGAGTTATGAAAATTATACAATTTCAAATAATAATTTGCATTTATCTGAATAATATTACTGAAAGAAAAAATTAATTCTATTATATTTAAATATCTCCTGACCTTCAGGTTTTAATTCTACCATCTCTTTCTGTATCGAGGCATAATTCAGAAATGGTGGGACAAAAATCATAAGAAGGATGTATTTGATTTTTCCGCAAATTAAGCCGAAGAGACTGAATCGACTACTATTGGTCTTTTCCTGGAATTGTAAAAAAAGAAAAAAGGTTGTTCGAGGAATAAATGATGCAGATCACAAAATAAAAGTATGCTATTCGGAGGATATTATTAGTTTATTATTATTTTTTTGTCTCTAAAAATTAAATTATCAAAACAAATAAAGAGGTTACCTTCTTTTTATTCTTGGATCGTACATTATCAATTTCTTTGGAAGATTCCACTTTTGCATCCCCACTCGCACCATGCTCTGCCTTTCTTGCCTTGGATGCATCTTGGATCTTTTCTTTAACATCATCCTGGAGTTTCCGCTTTCTTATTTTCTGATCTTGTGCATCTCCTTTGGCCATTTACTGGAAAAAGGCATAAGATAAAAAAGTTATAGAAACAATTCTTTTAAATTAATTAAATGTTAAAACTAGTAAGAAAAGCCTTGGCACAGAAAAATAAAAGAATTCCCGTGTTATGGTGGCCCATTATTATGATAAAATAACTCTTTAGTGTACCTAATTTCAGGCTTAAATATAAAAATGTGCCAATTGATAGATTTAAAAGTTAACATCTCTCAAAAAACCTTTTTTCTTCTCATTCAAACTCCAAATAGTGCTAATTAGTTACTTAAGACTTTTTATTATGCCTAAATAGGCAAATTTTGCACATGAGAAATTAGAACAGACAATGGAATAAGTCAATAATAACAGCAAAAAAGTAAATGTATAGGCCACACACTGATAACAGAGAGTAGCAGCTATATAGTAATACTTTATGGAAAACTTGGGGGGAAGAGAACGAAAGATAATAAGACAGGGGGGAAATTATTAATAAAATAATAAAGAATATTTCGTTATTTTGCTGGCCGCTAGCATCCAGCGGGTCGTATGTTGTTCATACCAGGTGTAGAAGAATGAACAATGCGTAAAAAAGGACTGAGAAAAACAGCATGCATAGAAAACAATACCAAAGCTAGTGATACTAACAATATTCAATATAATTATACGATTAAATTTCTATAAAAATACTAATTCAAAAACAGACAAAAAAATGCTATCAACTTATAGCATGGCAAGTGAAAAGGTTCACAAATTTTAATTTACACACGCAATTATATAATGTCTCTTATATGTTAGGAAATATAGCGAAAATCTCTCCCTCGACTAGGAAAGCTACCGGCATATATATATAGGATTAAATCAGATCCATCTAGTAAAGACATTCCAAACACAGCGATATCATTTTTGCAGCATTGTGTATTTTGTAAATCGCAATGTCCCCCAGGCCGGGGGGAGGTTCCTGACGTGCCGCTGCACGGTCTGGCGGCAGGGAAACCCATCACCTGGCCAGTGGGGGGGGGGCCGGGGGGGGGGGGGGGGGCATTAAGAGCTCGCGCTCGGCAGGTCACCAACGCCATTTCCCAATGTGACACAAGTCGCATTGGATTTATTTTTATGGATCGGTTTGTACTTAATTAATAGATTTGAAAACTCGCAAAACATGGCGCTATACAGAGCTAGGGCTTTATTTTTTCACAATGGGGAATAACTTTATTCATTAATAATAGCAATAGCTGAAAAAAGTTAGGCAGCTCAGAAATTATGAAAATTGAGTTTTTCGCCAGTTATCTCCCCTCACACACACAAATTTGGTTGTCAGATATGGCGCTCATCATTAATAACTTAATATGACAATATATAACAAAGATGACCATTATTGTTCATCTTCAAAAATCTGTGGAACACTTATCAGTTAATTAATGGGAAACAGTTTTAAAATATCAAGTTCATGATTGCTAACTAATCACACCTACGTCACAAAACAGACAATATGTCATAATAAGTATGCATAAATATACATCACCAAGTTATCTCGGGAAGAGCATTCACTAACTAATTAATCTCTTAAAAACACACCGGGCATAATCAAACATAATATTCAGTGCCCAATAGGGCGTCCCAGAAATGCTTGGAAAATTTTTTTTAAAAAATCTTTGGTGTCTCACCCCCTGAAATGTGTCTCTTGGGTACAATGAGTGAATTGGTGAAGTTGTAGCTCATTTGAACAACATTTAGAGGTCCCCCAAGAGCTTTTAAAATTCCAGTATTAGGCCAACATAAAAATCCAGACGAATCGTGGCTCAAATAACTTGCAGTTTTTGCATGCATATATGAATAAAATGAAGTTTAAATATACTTATATTTACCTCATTGCTACCATTAACTAGAGTTGAAATTGTGTGATTCTTAATTAGAAAATGTAATAAATGCGAGAAAACATATAAAATACCTAATGTGCAAAACTTGTGCATATTTTTTGAAGATTTGATTGTTTTAAACTAAGCAGTATTTTCCAAGAGCACAATGCATTGTCATCGCAAGCTTCGTCGTCAACAAGCTGCAGCACGTATAAAAGAAGACTATATTCCCTCAAAATCAATTGTTCATTGGGATGGTAAGCTATTGCCCGATGTTACCGGAGAGGTTACCAACAACGTCGATCGATTACCTGTCCTGCTCTCATCACTTGTCGATGGCACTACAAAGCTTCTTGGTGTTCCCAAGTTAGCATCCGGGTCAGGACGGGCAGCTGCTGATGCAGTATATGAACATATCAAATCGTGGAAGTGCGAATCTATGGTCATCGGCATGTGCTTCGACACTACGGCTTCCAATACTGGAAGACTCAATGGAGCTTGCACTCTGTTAGAAGTAGCCCTGGGACGTAATCTATTATGGATGGCATGCCGTCATCACATGTTGGAAGTACTCCTTTCCGATGCATTCAATGTTTGTCTTGGACCATCCACTGGACCAGAGATTTTGTTTTTTAAGAGGTTTCGAGAAAAATGGCCAGAATTAAACCACACACCCGAACCCCTTTGATAATCGTGTCCGATTCGATTAAAGAATTTATCAAATGTCAACTTGAGGTCAGTCATTCACGTGATGATTATTTGGAATTTCTTCTGCTTGCTGCACAAATGGTTGGGTTGGAGGTTGATGTCAGCATTCGCAGACCTGGTGCCCTACATAGGGCAAGGTGGATGGCGAAAGCAATCTATGCATTGAAAATCGAACTATTGTTTGCAGGCAACGAAACCATCTTTCAGTTAACAGCTCGAGAATTACAAGGTATTCAGCGCTTTAATCGGTTTACCATATGTGTTTATCTTCAATCATGGTTTTCATGCAGGCTCACCGCAGATGCACCTGTGAATGATATCTTGTTGATACAGCGTTTATACGAATATGATGATGCTGTTCTTCGATCGACTGGATTGAAAATGATGGTGCGTCACTCGTGGTACTTGAGTCCGGAACTGTGGACGCTTGTGTTATTTTCAACCCTTTTGTCGGACAAAGAAAAAACTGGCCTTGTTCGGACAATGCAATCAGAACGTGGACTGCATCTCATAAAAACACTACCAAAAAGTGTTGTTGATTTGCGTGCTTCTACCACATTTTTTGAAACATCCAACATTGATGCCAGTTTTCTAGATGTTCCTGTTGAAGCATGGTCAGATACACCATCTTTTAAAGTTGCAGCAGATTTTGTAAAGAATCTGGCTTGTATCAATGACTCTGCAGAGCGAGGTGTAGCATTGATACAAAATTTCAATGACAGTATCACCAAGGACGAAGAACAAAAACAATTTTTGCTCCAAGTGGTTGACAAACATCGGAAAAATTTTGCAGAGTGTAATCGTGAACAGCTGGCTAAAATTTAAATTTGAAGAACTTTTTAAAATTTTTGTCTAACCTACAGTACAAAGTACAAGATAAATATTAGGAATGCTTAATTGCATTGCTTATTATTATTTTTCAAGCAGATTGACATTCTTTCAAGAATTAACTTGACAAAATGAATAAAACTTTGTTTTTCATAATTTTTTACTTAAATTTCAAATTTAAAAATATAAACCATTCAAGATTTATATATTTTGTTTCATTTAATATTATAAACAATACTAAGCATCAATTTGTTACTTAATATATCAGTTTTGCATATAATATAATGCAACATTAACGCTGTATTAGATTTGACCGCGCATGATTTTACACCAAAATCTGGAACTTTAAACCTCTTGGGGACCTCTAAACATTGTCCAAATGAGCTGAAATTTTGCAGGTTAACTACTGTTACCATACAGACATATTCTGTGGGGTGAGACATCAACATTTCAAAACTTCATTTTTTTGGGACGCCCTAGTGCGCAACAATTATTAAGGAACTCTCATACTTGACATACGTAGCCAGTATACAAGCCACATGGCAATTGTTGCATTCCATTTTGTTCTTCAAAGGGGAGAGCCTTGCAAGAAATTCCATAGTTGTATTGACGGTATTTGGTGCCCCACAAAGTGCGTATAAAAACCAAATCTCAGTCCGTAGTGCTGCATCATTTCAATTTTCAGTTCGATCAACAATTTGAATTCTTGTTAATCTGATCGTCCTGCCATTTTGAACAAAGTGATCCGATTACCAGCAATGCAGCAAATTGACCTCCATGGTACACGGGCAGACTTCCCAGATTTCTCGCTGAATCCCTCATGCACCACACCAAAAGACCTTCAAAGTTTTCAGCCACAACACTGTTAAACTCCTAAGCGCTGCAGTCAGCAAGACAAATAGAAACACAGACCATTGCGCATATTGAATGTGAACTTTCAGTCTGCAAGTGGGAAGAGAGTAGAGATAGCAAACTCGATCAACGGCTTAAAACCTGACATCATCTACGGCACAGAAACATTGCTCGGGATCCTAATGGGGCTGGGATCCCACCAAGAACGGGACCCCATCGGGAAACGGAATCCTATTGTATCTGGATCTTACTGAGATCGGGATCCCACCCGAAAATGGGATCCTATTGTATCTGGATCTTACTGAGATTGGGATCCCTTCGGGAATGGGATCCCATACTGGGGAATGGGATTAAAACTTGGAAGGGAGCCCACTGGGGATCAGGATAACTTTCAGATTGTATTTTATGAATTTTTTTTGGAGGAGAAAATAAAAAAAAAAATTATTCATGTGTTTTTTACAGGCCCCTTAATTTAGATGTTAGCAAAAGGGTTAAAAAAAATTAAATTTCTGAATGCCATCTTGAGCTACACTAGTTTTTAGGGAAAATTAAAATTATGAATTCATTACCATTCAGTATCGATAGCAGGTATGGCGTATGATAATCAAGTGTATGTCTACTAAGTTTGATCTAGATCCATTTACCCATGCAGGAGCCTTCTTTGTTTGGAATTATAATTATGCATATCTCATATGAGAAATAAAAACACACATTTTTGGCCCCTATCCCAAAACGGAACATCTCATTAAGTTCACCACCCCACCCCATTTTTTCCCAGTATTTTATTCTTTTTGTGATAACTGCCCTATTCAATATTTGTAACCAAATAAGGCTTACAGGAGAATGGCCCAAACCATGTACCCAATCGCTCATCATCACCCTCCTCAAAAAGGTAACCTACAGCTATGGCAAAACTATCGCACCATTAGCCTAATAAGCCATTCAAGCAAGGTCATATTGAACCGACTAAAACCATATACCGACAGAATCATTGCTGAAGAACAGGCGGGCTTCAGACAAGGACGGGCCACTAAAGAGCAGATTCTAAACGTCCGAATACTGTGTGAGAAATATGCTCAACACCAACAAAACCTATACCACGTCTTTCTGGACTTCAAGAAAGCATTCAACGGGGTTTGGCATGCTTCTTTATGGGCCACCACGAGGCACTAAAACATCAAAACAAACCTCACCAGAATGATATGCAACCTCTATGATAAGGCCACCAGTGCAGTCTTCCTCAACAACAACATCGGAGAATGGTTCAAGACCACGGTTGGAGTACGGCAAGGCTGCCTGCTCTCCCCCACCCTGTTCAACATCTTCCTAGAGAGAATTATGTCAGATGCTCTGGAAGTGCATGAAGGTATAGTCAGCATTGGTGGTAGAACAATCACCAACCTACGCTTTGCGGACAACATAGACGGACTGGCTGGTAACGAAGAAGAGCTAGCCAACCTGGTAAAGCATCTCGATAAGACCTTGTCGTCCTACGGCATGCTAATCAGTGCTGAAAAGACAAAACTGATGACAAATAACACCACAGGAATCACCACTGAAATTAAGGTTGGGAAGGAAAGACTAGAGACTGTAGGCCGCTTCAAATACCTAGGAGCAATAGTCTCAGAAGAAGGCTCCAAGCCCGAACTGATGTCCAGGATTGCGCAGACTTCAACAGCACTAAAGAGCCTCAAGAAAATATGGAATTACAAAAATATAGCCCCCAGCACCAAAATCAGGCTGATGCGCACATTAGTTCTCTCCATTTTCCTATATGCCTGTGAATCCTGGACATTAACAGCCGATCTTGAAAGGAAAATAAAGGTGATGGAGATGAGATGCTTCAGAAGCATTTTTGGCATCTGCTATAGAGACCATATCTCAAATGATACAGAGAAAGAAAGGGTTCGCCAGGCAATTGGAGAGTATGATGACCTACTGATGACTGTGAATCCAGTGTGAAAAAACGCAAATTACAATCGTACGGCCACGTAACAAGGAAACAAGGGCTTGCAAAAGAAATATTGCAGGGCACCATAAGAGGAGGGAGAAGAAAAGGAAGAAAAAGATGGGCGGATAACATCAAAGAGTGGACAGGACTAACACTGGGCGATGCTGTGCGTAGTGCAGAAGACAGAGACGAATGGAGGAGGATAGTTCACAAGTCATCTGTGGCGCCCCAACGGTCCAAGGACTAAGGGACATGATGATGATGATGAACATGTCTACAGTTTGAAAATTTCGTTAGGCATTCTATCATGGGTGATTAAAATCTGGAAATAGGGTGAAAATAAAAATACAAAACAAATGGGGCTACATAACTTTGGTTGGGGGATGTTCAAAGACGCTTTAGAAATCAAATAAAAAAAAAGCGCTGTCTAAATCAGTATTAGTTAGCTATTACTGCCTGGGATTTAATTAATAAAGTTAAAGAATACACGTAAGTTGTCCTTAGTCTAAGTTTACATCCGAAAATACCAAAGCCCTAAGAATTAATATACGCACCTGAACTGAACTTTAACCAATCTTTGTGAGAATGTGGGGGGGGGGGAAATTTGCGTGACGACAATAATGGATGGCCCCTAACAGTAATACCTACTTACCAGTGCGCCTACCTAGCCTACCACTACTTTTTTAAAGGAACTTAACCAAATTTTTGGGAGAGGGGGGGGGGGGGGGGAAATTTGCGTGACGACAATAATGGATGGCCCCTAACAGTAATACCTACTTACCAGTGCGCCTACCTAGCCTACCACTACTTTTTTAAATTTTAAGCCACTACAAATAAATTAAATAAATTCTTCTACAACTAAGCTAATCATAATGTACTATCACTATCGTCTTTCAACAGACATATTTTTTATTTTTAGCATTTTCTTTTATGATACTAAATTGTGTTGTTAAATGGCATGCGATTTTCCTTATGATACAAGAGAGAAACTTACACAATCGTAAGAAAAATCAAAATTTCTAACAAAATATCATGTGCAACGTCTATGTGGAGGAAATCGAAACTAGGAAGGATATGCCTGATAATTTTTTTAAAACTTAATACAGGCCAAAAGTAAATATATTTAGTTAACGTTATTCGCTTACCTTAAAGTATATGGATTTGTTGGATGCAAATTTTAATCTAAAATAATCAATATAATAAGTTTTAAATAAATACTTAATTTTACTAACACGTTTTGCTTACCAGAGATGTTAGTCTACCTAATTGCCACAATATTAAATAAAACAAAACCAAAAAAAAAAAAAAAAAAAAAAAAAAAAAAAAAAAAAAAAAAAAAAAAAAAAAAAAAAAAAAAAAAAAAAAAAAAAAAAAAAAAAAAAAAAAAAAAAAAAAAAAAAAAAAAAAAAAAAAGGAAAAAGCTACCCTTAATTGAGAGACGTGAGATTAAAAGAAGAGGCAAGCCGTTTTCATGATTTCATACATTTTAATAGAATTGTTAAAAATTTAGAAATATGTAAAAACAAAAGGTATAGTTAAGGTATTTTTAAGAGCTGCATGCAACACCTGGCAAAAAAAAAATATTAGGAAAATTTGCTAATGGAAACTAAATGGTGAATAAGAAGAAGACTGCTCTTTTCAAATAGTTTTATATTGATCCGCGTAAGATAGCAAAACTTATTTTTACTAAATTCATTTATTTATTTAATTTATTCGGATCAAATTAGACTTTATTAAATTCGTGTCGCATACCATAAACTTAAACGCTAAGGGAGACAACTTTTGGAAAAGCGCTACATTTAGAGAATACGCAGTTAAGCCCATTTGAAAACTAAAAACAGTCGACAACACATGGTAACAAGGTTTAGAACAGGAGTCGCCAGCATAAGACAAATACTTTCCTTACTTTTCTTACTTCATTTAAATTAGGCTTTTTAAAATTCTTGTAATAAACGGTTTGAAATTAAGCACTTATTATAATTAATTTGTTTGTAACCCTAACCCTAACCTGGACTAGTGAGTTGAGACCTGGACTAGTCATCTGCGACCTGGACTAGTGAGCTGAGGCCTGGACTAGACATCTGTGACCTGGACTAGAAATCTGAGACCTGGACCTGTGAGCCCAGACCTGGACAAGTGAATTGAGACCTGGACTTGGATTCGGTGATAATCACGCAAGAGACGGTTCGCTCTCAGCTGTAAAGTGAGCCACATAAAACAATCGAAGCTTTGTTTTCAGTTTGGAAACGTACCGGGTTAAGGTTTTCAATTTGGAAACGTACCCTCTCATGGTGATGAAAACACTTTGGTCAATTCCATGTTCTTTAATTCCCATTTGAGAATGTCATTCTATAAGTCTATTAATTTCAGCTGCAGACTATTACAAGCTTTGTCAATGTCACATGATAATAGCATGGCGAGAAGACCTAATTGTGTGTGTGATTCATGATATTTTAGGACATATCACTTGACATGTTTGCTCGATTTTTCAGAGACATGAGGATGTATTTTAATATAAATAATTAAATATTGTCTTCGAAAATTCTCAGCACGTTCTGTTGAAAAGAAAATCAGCAGGGGAATAAATATATATGTTGGTTTAATTTGATGTAATTTTAATTATTACAGTTAGACAAGCGAACACGATAATTATTACATTTCAAGACTTCTACAGACAATCATTCTGCAATGTGTACAATTTACGAAAAATTAATCCAGTTCCCGAAGGTCTCGGGAGCCTAAATTTAAACATGACATAGGGCCACATGGCCCGCTGGCCGCAGTTTGAGGACCCCGGTTTTAAATCCAATCAGCGAAGTAAAAAATATATTAGCATTTCAATAAGATGTTGTTAGATTACATAATTATATGTGCTAATTTTATTGATTTTGATCATGTAAGAATATAGTTGCCTAATATCTCATGTCATAGGTCAAGGACATCTCCAAGTAGCCTTAACGAGCAGGTGACTGCATGTTATTTAATGCCATCTTTAAAAAACACCAACAAGAAAACAACAACAGAAAACCCCACCAAAACTTTCTTTGAATTTGACCCAAATATGTTCTTATTCCATTTAAATCTAAACAAAGTTGTGGAAATATGTCGAATTTGATCAAGTTTGACCTGCAATTATTTATTACAAAATCCTTCATTTTTACGTCATATTGATAGACCTTAGCATATGGTTATGTGCCTATCATCATAAATACTGTCAATTGAAAGGAATTAGTTATTTCAAAAACAATAATTCACGTTAAAATAAATGAATATACATGCATGTTTTCTTTTTTCTCACGACATTTTTCTAATTTAAATGACCCCCCCCCTCCACCACCAGCCCCCTTTTTCCAGGTTATTGCTAGTGTTGTGAGAATGGTCGAAATAGACCATGGGCTATAACTTAGGTCCTCTTCTTCTTCTTATATTTGAGGGGCCCACGATCAATTTGTTGGTCATTCTGGCTCCTAGTTTAAATTCAGAGTTTGCCTTCTCTTAGATGAGTTGCCGTCCAAGGCTAACGAGTCCCATCCACCCAGGATGTTTGGGGTGTGAGTTGCCGTCCAAGGCTAACGAGTCCCATCCACCCAGGATGTTTGGGGTGTGAGTTTCCGTCCAAGGCTAACGAGTCCCATCCACCCAGGATGTTTGGGGTGTGAGTTGCCGTCCAAGGCTAACGAGTCCCATCCACCCAGGATGTTTGGGGTGTGAGTTGCCGTCCAAGGCTAACGAGTCCCATCCACCCAGGATGTTTGGGGTGTGAGTTGCCGTCCAAGGCTAACGAGTCCCATCCACCCAGGATGTTTGGGGTGTGAGTTGCCGTCCAAGGCTAACGAGTCCCATCCACCCAGGATGTTTGGGGTGTGAGTTGCCGTCCAAGGCTAACGAGTCCCATCCACCCAGGATGTTTGGGGTGTGAGTTGCCGTCCAAGGCTAACGAGTCCCATCCACCCAGGATGTTTGGGGTGTGAGTTGCCGTCCAAGGCTAACGAGTCCCATCCACCCGGGGTGCTTGGCTTTGGTGGGGTTTGAGCTCCAGACCACCAGCTATTTGGTTTGAGGCAGTTTAGACCACTCGGCCACCCTTCAACCCCGAAAGACGAACAACAAAACACAGAACAACACACAAGCACGCTAACACACACACAAACATACATCCAAACAAACATACACACATAAACACACTCAAAGAAATACAAACAAACACACAAAGTAACACATACAAAAACACACAAAGAAATACAAACATAAAATGAAACACACAAAAAAACAAAACCCAAAAACAACACACACACAATAACAGACACACTCACACCTGTTGTTGTTGTTCGTCAGCCGGCAGTCGACCATGACCCACTTTAATCATCAGACGTGTGCTAGTTCTGTCTGTGGGTACTCAGATGGCTGATGAGGCCGATTCTGGTACGAAACTTTCTTGTGCAGTAGGTGCAAGGGAATGATGGTGCATCTCCAGGAGCAGAGTCAGACCGGGCCTTCCTGGCACGTCTCTTGCGCTCTGCACCCACTCTTCTGCCAACTTCATGTCGCATGGAGCTCCTTTGTAAAGTGGAACGCCATGATGTTCGATCCATAGCTTTTTCCCCGCACGTATCTGGGTTTATGTCGAACGCTTTCAGTGAGGCTTTTATTTTGTCTTATAAACGTTTTTTCTGCCCCAACACTTTTCATGTTTCCCGCAATGCTGACCGATGCCTTCAGAGAGGAGGACGCTGGAATTGTCCTCAGATACCGAACTGATGGTAATCTATTCAACTCCAAGAGGCTACATGCCAAAACGAAGGTCCTGACAGACACCATCAGGGACCTCCTGTATGCAGACGACTGTGCCCTAAACGCTGTATCAGAAGTCGATATGCAACCCTGCGTCACAAATTTTTCTAATGCCTGCACAAACTTCGGGCTCACCATTAACACAGAAAAAACTGAGGTCATGTACCAACCAGCTCATCGAAGCCCTTATGTTAAGCCCAAGCTCCGCCTCTCCACGTTCTGACCTATCTTAGTGAACTTTTTTCTCCCCCTTTTTTTCGCCGCTGCATATTTAAACTCTCACTCATTTTCCTTCTGCCACAATTCTATTGCTGCCCACAGATACTACTTACCAGCTAAGGGCTATTTCTTATTTTTATTTTTATACCGTTTTTTTCTGTTGTTTTGTTCGCTGACGAAGGCTTTCTGCCGACACGTTCGCTGTTTTGTTGCGTTTATTTTTTCAGGTTTAACCCTACTCTGTTTTACTCATTTTATTTCATACAAGAAGACTAAGATAAATCTTCAACATTAAATGGCAGAACAGAGTCCCAGATAATGAGGTGCTCACACAGCCAGGTCTCCCCAGCATCTTTACCTTCTTAATGAAGTTCCAGCTTCGCTGGTCGGGAAATGTGAGAATGTCTGACGACCGTCTGCCCAAAAAAATTTTCTATGGTGAGCTCGAACAAGGATACAAACACACACACACACAAACAAACAGAAACACAAACAGAGGGACACTTTAAAGACACATGTTTAAAAGAGTAAACTAAGAAGAACAATTTTGTACGAAACTCTTTTATTTCATGAAAAAACCTCATTTATGTCATAAGTCAAGAACACTAAAAACATTGGGTACCGTACTTTGTTATCTCACATATTATGTTTGTAAACAGAAGGAAATATTTCCATGACGTTTTAATAAGAAGGGAATTTAAAGAAAATTAATTTTAATAAATATGAGTTTAAATAATGTTGAAAGATGGAAAAATGTGTTTAAAGTGTGTTAAGAAGATTACTGATGCCATTTAAAGATGTTATTTTGAAAAATCTCTTGAACGGATGCTTCTTTAAATAATAATAATAAAAAAAAATTTGTACAACAGGATATGATTGTGCTTTGTTCAAAAACCTGAATTCCAAGAACGAATCAATACAAATTAATGTTAAAAATTCAATAATAAAAAGCAATGCACACATATTCCTGGAATGAAACAAATTGAGGTTAACATATGAACGTGTTATTGCGGTCTACATATACAGACTACAGACTAATTAAGGTCTACATACTCAGACTATTAAG